ACGTCGATTAATATCCTCGGCGAGAAGCATATTGTGCCCGCGACGGTATATTCAGCGACTGTAAACGTCGTTCACTTTAATCGGACTTTTATTATCGCTCCCGTTTTACGAACACGTTTCGTCGCGTTAATATTTCTTTGTATCTTCACGCGCAAAGAAATCGCGCGTTTAGACGTGGGTGTAGCGGCGAATTTCGCGGCAACGCGTTACGTTACGGAAAAAGAACGGTACACTTCGCACGAGTTTTCCTGCGAGAGATCAAAATAGCGATGACGAGTGTGCCATCGTTCGTCGGCACGAGGACGTTTCCCGTAGTTTCTCTCTCTGTGCTGTAGATCGACATCTGGCAAATTTGGCGAGACGATAATTACTAAGCACGCAAAAAACGACACGCTTCTTTCGTCGCTCGTCAATGCTACCGTTCAGTCAACTATACTCGCATATTTGATCGCCGTAACGAGAAGCGTGGTGGAGTCGCCGCGTCTATTGTCTAGGGATCTACCATTATGGGCCGAACATCCGCTACGCGGCGGAGCGTTCTTTGTACTCCGCGATTCGATGCTATAATTGTACTTGACTTCCTATTAATACATCCACCCAGTCGAGGACGAGGACACGTAAGGACACGTGTATGCAAACTAATTGCCGGACTGCGGGGATTGACGAAGAAAAAAAAAACGTAAGCAATTCAACAGATGCGCGATGCTCTCTGGGCAATAAAAGTACTCTGCCCTCGAAAAGTAGAAGACAAGCTTGCAGGACTTATTTTTCCGTGAAGCTTGCAAAATTCGGAAGTGTGGGTGAAACTTGGAAGATCACCGAAAAAAAATGTGCACACTCTTCACGCAAATTAAACACGGGCGATTCTTGCCGTGGAAATATAAATTTAAACGCGCGAAATTCCTCGGTAGTCTCAGTAATCATATTTATAATCGCTTCGATTAAACACGGGCTTCGTTTTGCAAATTGCGGGCTCTGAGAATGAGCACGTCAGAAGCGATAAACCTGAAGCCTAGTCGCATAGCTTCGTAGGCGCGGATTTTATATGTATGTGCGCGGCGATCTTATCCTAACACACAAAGTCAAGCGAGAGTCCCGACGCCGTTCAGGAATGGAGCTGTCGATGCTCGATCATTTATTACCGTGAAATTCGAGATAGGGCAGTGAATGTTTTTTCCATCGGCATTTCGATCCTTATAAGAACCGAGCGGCGCGTACAGCTCGCGCGCCGGCTCAGGCGGAATGAATTCGTGCTCGTGGTGCGTGGAGCATAATCGCACCCACGAGCAACGCCATAATCGGGTGCAGCGTTACGTCTTTATCACCCGGCGCGCAGTGTGTGCGTGTGTCCCTGTGCGGGCAAAAAGCGAACGCCAATTTGCGACGAGGGCGTGGCGCCGTTCAGCGAGATTCGCAAGGACAGAGACATTAAGCTCTATCCCGTTGCCGCACGATTTGCATCCCGTGATACGTGCGCCGCGCCGATCCGCTTCGCCCACGTGGGCAACTTCGTGAAAAAAAGCTCGGCGCAAAAGCGGCCGAATGAAATGGAAAGTACGTGGGGTGCGTCAGGTGCATATGAATGTCCTCGGACGCTTCGGGAAAAACGGTGCGCGGAGATATCTCGAGATTGTCTGGTCTATTTCCGTTTCTGAAACTAACGGGTGACTCGAGTACGCGATACCGATCGACAGGAATTCGCAACATGAGCAATTTGATATGTAATTTTCGCGAGCACACGGATCCTCCCTCCTCGCTACTCAACGTAGCTCAACGTTTTCTCCCGTTTTAAGAGAATGTCGATTAAAAGAAGAAATATCGAGAAAATTCGAGTGCAACACGCACAATCTTGAGATGATTTAAAATATTAAAATTTCGCCTCTCGTACGGACTCAGTGCTCACTCGTTACATATTTACGGTAGACTTCAGCAGTTTCGTCTGTGTGTTTTGAAATACGTGTATGAAACGGGTTCACGAGAGCCGTGGCACGAGAGCACGAGAGAGCGATATAATCTTCGTAGAAATATGACATGTACGTCACGGCGGAATAATTCGAAAAAGGTATCTTTGTTTTTCTGCCAAGGATTTATGAACACGTCAGTGCTCTCGGAGCTTCAAGATGAACCGAGCGCCTTGTTCTACAACTGTCCGTCGTCATCGATAAACAACGTAGCTCGTGCAACGCCGATAGCGATCTGATTGTGTAGCCTGGCGCTCTGGGGCGTCTGCGAATTCGCGAGTCGCGACTGATACTCCTCGGCAGAGAAACGGCTCCTTCGCCTTCCAAGCAGCGCGCGCGCTTCAAGATCAAGAACAGAGGAAGATCTCAAACAACAAGTCCGATCTGAAGGATCCGCGTGCCTTCGCCCTGGTCGAGATTATTTCGCAAATTCTCATCGTATCGAGACAATATCGGAAATATCATATAGGGAGAAGAGAGTCTGTATAAAGAGTCGGAGTGATATCTCAGCGTCGTGTAGACGCTTTTCTCCCTCCGTAGCCTTCCCGTTCCTTCGTTTTTCGCGGGAGATAGCCTCGAGTCGTGCCCACCGCGCATTAATCTCGAAAGCTGAGATTATGCAAAATCCTCTCCTATCCGTTTCAGATCGACAGCACTGCGGATCGAAGCGGCACGCCGCGCGCGTTTCTCGAGCGTAGCCCGAGGTATCCGAGCGGCTTACGATCGTCCATCAAGCCGATCGAGGCTGTCGCCGATCGTATTGATCGCCGCGGGATTTTTCGCTTTCCTCCAGCTTTGCTTGCTCAGCATCGTCCGAGGGATCGAGCGTGTCGCTCTTTGCAGAGGCGAGCATTAAGAGAAGCGGCGAAAGAAGCGCGTACGCGTTCCCGGTGCGGGCAGAAAGAAAAGGAAGAAAAGATGACGGAGAGGAAGAGAGAGAGGGAGAGAGAGAGAGAGAGAGAGGGAGGGAGAGAGAGAGAGAGAGAGAGAGAGAGAGAGAGAGAGAATCCTCGGGCACACGCGAATCGGGCTAGTCGACCACGGCGGCTCTTTTTGCGATGAGTCATCAGCCGCGAGTCTCTCTTCCTCTCTCTCTCTCTCTCTCTCTCTCTCTCCCCCTCTCTCTCTCTCTCTCTCTCTCTCTCTCCGTCGTTTCTTCCTCTCTTTCTTCATCTTGTTCTTGTCCTTCCATCGTACTATTCTTTTCCCTACGGAGCTACTCCTTTCCTCGTTGTCGTCGTCGGCGCGACCGCGTCTACTTCGGCCGCGTACACGGCGTCGGAAAGAAAGCGAAGAGAAAGAAACTAGCTTCGCGAACGCGCCAGCACGGAGGACAAAGGCTCTCGAAGGCTTCGTTCGAATGCACGTCGGCGCGGCTCACCGTCGCCGTCGAGCAACAAGAAGCGCGAGCCGTAAATGTTGCTTCGACGTAGGGCCGGTTGTAAAAATTCGCGGCGAGACGCGGCCGCGCGGCGTTTAGTACGCGACCGGCGAAATATTGACGATTCCTCTCGCCGAGGAGCGAGAGCGAGAGCGCGACGTGGTCTCACGATCTCGGGAGGAATTCAGACGATACTCAGAGAGGCTCGGGGGGGGGGGGGCAGAGATGAGGAAGGCGCGAAAGATTATGCGATAAAAGACCATTCGGGGGGTCTCATCACGGGGTGAGCATAGAAGAGAAGGAGGAAGGAAATTTGTCGAGCGTCGGGAAAAAAATTCAAAAGCGAGGGGTAAAGTTAAATAAGAACTTGCCTGCCGATGATTTCATCGCGTCGTCGCGTATTATTACTCGCTCGAGAACGCAGTAACGTCTCGCGCACGTTGTTACACGTGAAATGCGGATGAACGTTAGGTCCCATTACGGTGACCATAAATTGCGAATTTAATGCCGGCGAGTTTAAGCGTGACACACGCCTTTATCCACTTAGTCCTTCATTTACGTAGCCGCAGACATATCCGCGGATAATCGCGGCTCGTGGATGCGTGAAGCGATCTGCACTTGTCCGCCGCCGCGGCGCGCGCGCGCTCCTCGGTAACGCGTAAGTGCATCGGCGTGCACGCGTGTGAGTCGCCGGATGCAATCGCGGTCGCGTTGTAAATTGCGGAAACGTTCTTTTTTACGAGGTCATCGCGCGCTCGAGCTTGCGGCTAGACCGTCAGCGAGCGCGACGGCTTTCAAGAAACGGAGTTATCACATACCTTCGTGTCGCGCGTACGCCGAATCCAAGCTCCGTCGGAGCCTTTCGGGGTCCGACAAAAAATCGCGAGTGGAAAAGTAAACGGTAAACGTGTTCGTATAAGTATACGCGCGATAAAATCAAATTCCGCACCTGTCCTCGATTCTGAGCGCCGACTGGCGACCCAGTGACCAGTGAGCGATCGCGTGCCGCGAGAACGATCGCGAGATTAAAAATTTAGAGGTAGTCGCGCGTTTAATGTTCAGCAACACGACAACGGTTGCGTCGGTGCAGCATCTTTTAAGACGGACAAATAGCCGATCAAAGCGCGAAGGAAGGGAGACCTCGATAACGCGCCGATGCGAACTCGCAGCGCAAAATGAAGAAGAAAAAGCGCATTTATATTCGAGTCGCATGCTCGTCGAATGGGGCTTTTTTCTTCCTCTTAGCACCGGCCACGCCGTGCCGCGCCGCGCCGCGCCGCGCCGCGCCGCGCCGCGCGACCTCGACGTTCCGGCGCGCTGAAAAAGGGGTACCGCTCGCGACGGGGTCGATAAAGTCGATTTTACGGCCTGACCGCCGTTTCCCCGCGTTTTCGGAGAGATTTACGTTACGGGGACGAGGCGAACGGTAAATCCTAATTGTTAGGCCGGCCATACGTAGGTCCGGCGCGGCGGCGAGCGTTTCTTCGTTATTTTCGGTGTAACCTTACACTCGGGCCCCGCCGTACGTGAGCCGTCTGGCCGTGCGCGCGCGTACTCGGGACACGAGTATAAAGTGTAACACCGTGCAAAACCTGCGCACGAGAGACTCGCGGCTCGCGGCTCGCGGCGTGTGCGGAGCGCGCGCGCGCGCGCGCGCGCGCGACGGGTTTGCAAATGCGGCAGGGGGTACGAGGCGCCATAACTCAGAGGTCTCGGGGCGGGTGTCGTAAATCCGCGGAATCTGCAATTTTTGCGGGTAAGCTGCACACGGTAAACCGACCGTCATTCTCATTGTATTCACGTGCGTGCTTGAGCGTCTCGACGTCGGGGGGCCACCGGCGGGTGTATCGGCTGCTGCGTCGAGGACGAGCTCGTTCTCAAATTAGGAGAGACACGTCTCTCCTTGCCTCGTGCTCCTCGGGTTCGCGACACACGAAGGCTCTCTCCTTCTCTCTTGCCGGAAACACCGAGTCCATGTTTCGGAATTTGCCAACGTGGTGAAACTACGGAAGAAATCTCGACATTAGCGCATTCTATTCCATCGGCATATAGCGAGTGATACACGATGATACGTGATTGGATTACGATGGTTCGCTGGAAGCGGGCCTCACGGGCCCGACTATCGGGAGGAATCGTAAGCGCGATCGCGATTCGTGTTCCGACGAATTATCGAGCCTGAGGATCGATAAGCGATATCGCGTTCTGCAACGAGAGCGGGCGGTTCGTCGCGCGGCGCTCGCTCGCGCGAAAGCGCCTTCGCCGGCTAACGATATGCACGTGAATTTCGCCAGATCGAATAATAATCGTCGTCGTTACACACCGGCCGTGCTCTTCGATTAACCCCGGATAACCCGGCTCCGGGTCCACTGCGCGGCGATCGCGATAATGTGATCTCTCTCGCATTATCTATCGTCAATTCGTGGCGCGGCACGTTTCGTGGCGGAGCACACTCCCTGTTGCTCAACGAACCCGCTCAATGATTCACGATTCGTGTTGCACGTTACGATTTCAGCGCGATACACACGTACGGATCAACGTGCATACGTACGCCGGTACATAACGCGGCGGAGGCGGCAAGCGGGCAGGTATGCCTCTCTCTCTCTCTCTCTCTCTCTCTCCCTCCCTCCCTCTCTCTCTCCTTCTGCCTCTCTCTCTCTCTCTCTCTCTCTCTCTCTCTCTCTCTCTCCTTCTGCCTCTCTCTTTTTCTCTCTTTCTCGCGACACGTTTTAATCCGCTCTCTAATTAGCCGCGCTTCCTTCCTCGCGTCACGGGACACGGCGCGACTGGAGCGACCATATTTTCCCTCGTCCGACAATCCGAGGCCCCGGCTATAAACGGTATTGTCGCGGCACGTTGTCGGCGCGTATGCTTCTACACGCGAAGCCTGAAAGCGGTGTATCTTAAACGCACCGCGGGGAATGACTAAGACCCGAGCTATCTTATGTGGTTCACAGGGCCGCCAGAGAGACGCACGTATAAGCGCGTTCGTTGACCGGTAATTACGATTCGCGAGGGTTCGCCGGCCGGTCGGCGTACAATTCTCTCCCCCGTGTCTTTCTTTCTCTCTGCGTAATCCTCTCTTTCTCTCGCGAGCTCTCGGAGCTTTACCTTGCGAAATGACAGACGTCCGTTTTCCTCCTCTCGGTGCCCCGTGCACGAAAGTGGACGAGACGCGGACACGTGGGAACGCATTGACATCTACTTAGCCCGGTGCTTAGCCGTGCACCTCCACCTCCATCAGCGTGCGCGCTGGGTCCGCCGGCGAGATCGATTAACGCGGAGCGATCTCTCGAGCCGCAATTGCGCGCCGTGCGTGATCGCGCTCGCCACGAAAGCGGAAAGTGAAACAATCGCAGCGCCACACCGCGCCGCGGGTCCGACCTGTCACTGTCGAAATAAATTGACGATTAAGTAATTGCCGGGTCGGATTCGACTCTCGATCGGAAGAGAGCAGGAAAGCCGCCACTCAGCCATTAGGCATGCACGATCGCATCGGGCCGATATATCGCAATCGTAAGAATTGTGCGCGTATCGTGAGACGGGATAAGATCGCCGAGGAGCGACACAAGTTACTTCGCGCCGCGGCAAAGAGATTTTAGGCGATCGAGACGAAGACACGCAAAGGACACGGAATACCGTAATGCGCCGTATACACGTCGCCGTTGCGACGTTCTTCTTTTTTTACCTTTGCGCGCGTTTGTCGAGAGAATGTACCTTCTCGGGTTATTTATTCGCATAATTACACGGGAAGAGGGATTTCAGTCGACGTGATAATGAGCGAATTAAATGCGTCTTATGGTCGAGGAACGGAACATGTCTGCTCCTTAGAATCGGATTTGCCTCAACGCGTTGGATTCGCTGTCACGTATCACGCTTGTGCGTTTAAACGGTAAACAGCCGACTGACCGTGCGCATTTCTCCGTTTCTTTTTCGTAACTTAACTCGGTCCTCATGGACTTTCGGCCGGAGCCTAAAGGGTCATCACCGCCCACGGTGCGGGCCGACCTGTATGAATGAACGCCGGAGAAGCGGAGGACCGTTTTTTCGAGGGTGCTCACGTGGCTGTCACGTGAGCGGCAGGCACTCCCATTGTCTCTCGCGGGGTGAAGGTGCGCATACGTATGTGGGTAACATAATGCATTCTTACGAGGTACATACACCACCTCCGAATCGCGCGCGCGTGTGTATGTGTGTGTGTGTGTGTGTGTGTATGTGTGTGTGTTTGTGGCAAGTTACGACACAGTGGCTGAATATAAAAGAACCGAAGATGTAAAAGGCGCGATAGGAGCGAGGAAGCGCACCAACGTCGGCGCACTAATCGCGGAAGACGAAGAGCGCGATGACGCGGCGCTGTATCTCGCTTCCTGTCTTCGAAAGCAGAGCCGATCGTGAGGCGAAGATCACGAGGAGAAGAATGGGTGAAACGCGCCTTCATCCACCTCCAAGGTCGCGCGATTATCGGGTCGAAAGGGTCGGCAGGAGGAAATGAGATTCAGTTATTTCAGTCTTGCCCACGGAAAGATGCGTCTGTGCTGTGAGTGTCGCCGTGTATTAACAACGGTCGGAAAAAGCACGTCTATCAATGTTCCTCTTCGCGGAAACGCTGTCGTATTATTGGCCGCGAGTAAATAGGAAGTGAGTCTAGGAAGTGAGACCGCTGTCGGCTACGGCTAATTATCGTTAGCGGCAGCGGCAGAAGGGCAGCACAGCTTCTATTAATTGATCGACGGCAATTTGCCAGGCTGTAAAACGGACCGCGAGTCACGCGCCGACGAAATGCGAGTCGAGGGTGCCGAGGCGAAAACAAACAAGCGAAAAGCGAGGTGGTCCGCCACATCCGGCGCGGGACAACACCGTTCCTCGCGATCGTTTAGCTCTGTTTGCTTTGACTTCGACGATGGACTGCGCCGCCGTTTCGCCGCTACCATTATACGATCGCGAGACTATATTGCCCTTTAAACGTTCGCCAGACTCTCCTTTCCTCCCCGCTCATCCCGCTGCTCATCCTCGGCCACTTTCCCTAACATCGCGGAGCTAGCCCTTCTGGACGAGGAAGGGGCAGGGATCGATAATCCGGTCTCGATACATCGTTAATTTTACGACACCCGCTGTCGCGTTATACGCGGATGCACGCGAATGCAAACTAGAATGCATCGTCATTCGAATGTGATTAATTTGTTATGCGGAATAAGACTTGTGACTTATGACTCGCGCGCGAGTAACTGCTCAGCTATATCGGGCCTCTCGATAGCGCACGAAAGGGAAGGCCTCTTTAATGGCGTTTCGTTTCGAGGATTAACAAAGATGTATGATTTTGCTGCCGTTATCGAGCCGGAGGAAGTTCCAGAGCCTCATTAAAGCCCCGCGGCCACCGCCACGGTTCGCTGTGTTGTAATTAGAGCGAACTTGTTTTCCATTTTGTTGCGGCAATTTTCGCGTGACAGGTTGCTCTACGTGTTCCGTGTCTCCCGTTCATACATTATCTCTGCGTACCACCATGCTATATCTAAGATCCGCCACGGTCGCTACCGTTGCGCATCGAAGACACCTCCAACATCGCCCCAACATCGCTTACGAGCTTACTTTCGGCCGGCGATAAAAGTTAAGACGAGCCAATGTAAATTTCGAGGCGTGTTCAAACATCCGACTGGAATAGCTAACTCCAGAGTTTTAAACCTGCGTATTTCTGGCGGTTCTTTTTTTAGAATACACTACAGCTAATCCCAGAATGCTGAGTGGAATTCCGAGAGATTCGGAATTGCTCCCGAAATGTTTCCGTATAAAACGGCGAAAAAGATTCTGACAAAATTCGCCTCCGGAGAGATAACATCGAAATTTGCATATCGTTTTTGCACGCGATACCGTTCAACCGATTAAAAGCAAAAGTCACTCGATTATCAATTTATAGACGGAACATCGCAATTCTTAGGTTAAGTCGCGACTCAGCCGATCTCGATGGAACGAGGAACGCAATGTTTTCCTCACCGTAAAACGTGGATCATCATCCTTCGCCTTAGGTGATATTCGATTACAATTCGCTGCCCACACACGAGGTCAATTAAGTCTTAATCGCGGCCTTCCTTGCAAAGTGCCTCAAATGTCACGCGTGCCATTAATATATCTCGCCTGTTTTCTCGATCGGACACGAGACAATATTCGTCGCGCCTTTTCGCTGAGTAACGCTCGCTCATTCACTCACTCTCTCGCTCGGGCCCGGCCGCCCGTTCGCGAGGGGAACTTAAACGATATTAGAATTCCTCGAAGGAAGCGCGCGTGGGGTTACCTTAATTCTGACGCACCCTTAATTCCGCCGACGGCGCCGGGACACGCCTAAAAGTCACATCGGAGAAACGGGACACGGTGCGATCCAGGTGCGCTCGGCCAGCTCGCGGCGCGTCGTTCCGGCGTTCCGACGTTCCGGACGTTCCGTTTCGTCGTTTCATGGCGCTCGCTCGGAGCGGCAGCAGCGGCCGCGAGAGCGGGCGGTTGCGTGTGTCGCGTGTCAGTTATATCTCGGCAGCGAGCGCCGGCGGGCGCACGGGGCGTGCTTTCAAATCGCGGAAAACATCCCTGAAAAAAGCCTCGCTGTTCCACGTCACCGGCGATTACGACGAGAGACACGGGCGAGAGACGCGGGCGGCGACCCTCTTCGCCGGCGAGACGCGGAAACGGTCCTTCCCGCCGAAACGGAAACGCGCCCACGATCGATCGTTCCCGAAGGCGCTTCGATCGATGGTCCCGATCGGAGAAACACTGTGTGCCGTGTCGCCGTAAAATCCCGTCTCTCTCTCTCTTTCTCTCTCGTCTGTGCAGTCGCGCGATGGATTAACGCAAGATACGCACGGAACGTCCGGCGGAAAATCAGCGAGACCGAGGTTCCTGCCGAATTCGTTCGCCGACAAACGTGAGTGTGATACACAGCGCTTGCGATCGCTCCGAGTCGTCGTGGTTATGGTTATGTACTCCGCGTCGCGCGGAGCACTCGGAGAGGCGAGGATCGTTGGGCGTATTTTTTACACTCACCACGCTCGTGTAGATTGAGCCTCCTCAAGGACGACTCAGGCGATCGGTCGTCGGTTGTGCAGCAGCGAAAAGTGCTCGCGCAACAATCGGCTTTTTAGCGCGGACATATTAGCGAGTCGAGCACGCGCGCGCGCGCGCGCGCGCACCCACGTGATCTCGCGATCTCACCCCGCATAGAGAGCGCGCGCTACCCCGCGGTGAAGCCTGGCGCCAGCGAAAGTGGCGCGACCCCCCCGCTAGTTCTGAAACTTTTAACTTCCGAAACGCTTACGCCGCGGCGCGATTTTCCGTTGTCGTGTAGTATCCACGTGAACTTCGTCATCGATGACGCTCGATCCAAAGGCCGACGCGTGACTGACCGAGGTCGTTGTGCATAAAGTCAGTCGTAACGGCACGCGAACGGCGATCGACAACCCCGACTTGGACGGACCGCGAGCTCCAGCAGACGAGGTAATTATCGCCCGTCTGGCCGGTGATCCGTAAGCGACGATTCACGTGTTGCGTCGCGTCGCGTCGCGTCGCGTCGTGTAGTGTAGTGCAGTGCGGAACGAAGTCGTTGGGATCCCGACATCGCGATGATTTCCAGACGACTCGAAGCCGACGCGATCGTCACGTAACCGGCGTTTTCGTGACTCGTGCGATCGGAGATTTGCAAGAACTCGTGCTCGATCGATCGACGATCCCTTCCGGAAGATTCGGCGGACGGCTGCCATGATGAGGTTAGCCGACGGTGGTTAGGTTAACGATCGGCGTGAAGTTGCCGATATAGACGTCGCCATTTGCATTTCGATACGCGGAAACGAACGGCTAATCGTCACACGAACCGCCATTTGTGAGGACGCCGCGCGACCGTTGTGCAATCGCGTTGATCGATCGGAGATCTCTCGTGGGCTCGTCGGACAATTCGCGGACATTGACGAATGCCCCGTGCGGAAGGTAGTGGTGTCCTTGCGATTCCGATTTACGTGTTCGCGCGCGTTGCATCGCATACGCGCGATATGCCGTGGTACTTCGATAGTGAAACGATTCGCGAGTGGTGGAACGTACGTCGCCGTTGACGGCCGACATTTTGCCGAAGTCGGAGATACTCCGAAGAATCTACGGTGGGGCGACTCGAGACGACGGCGACGGCGACGGCGACGACGACGACAACGGCGGCGACGGCGACGGCGATCGTCATCGTCACCATGGCCTACGTGCTCTGGAGAGTAATCATGAAGAGGTATTGCAAGGTGCGGCTGGGTCTTAGGAATCTACCGGTGAGTGTTCATTGGGCCATTCGCAGTTCGCTCGCGCGCACTACGTCCGCTCTCGTGTGTCGCATTGCCTCCTTTCATGTCTCTTTGCGCCTTTGCCCTTTTTTCCTTCCCAAGCGGCGGGGGCCGCACGACGTTCTCGCGTTTTTGTTTCTCTCCTTCTCTCTTTCTCTCTTTCTCTCTCTGTGAATACAGAGGAGAGTATGGAAAGTGATGCGTGCGGACGAGAACAGACGTATTGTGCATATATAGAGAACGTCGGACTGGCTTTCTTTCGAGCCTGCGGCGCTGAATTTTCAAGAGCCCGATACCGTAGATTATAATCCTTTAATTGAAGGGGGAACGTAATAAGTACTCTCTCTCTCTCTCTCTCTCTCTTCTCTCTACGCGGACTCGAAGCAAATAGATTTAAAAGAGTGAATAATAATAACACTACGAGAGAGCGCGGTTCGAGACGCGTCTACATGCAGCGAAGATTGTAGCGATCACATGACGGACGGCTTCTGCGTTTTCCGTATTTCGTGTATTTCGTGTGTGTGCTGTACGATTCTTGTTAACAAGAGATAATTACGCGAATGGGTAGATCCAGACACTCACGGGTGTAATATGCATAGAAAATCGAAAAGAGAAACAGTGGCTTGTGCGAGCTACGTTTTGCTTGAGAAGTATCCATCGGTGGAACTTAGTCAATGGTCAATCATTCAAAGTTCAAGTTAAAATAAAGTGAGAGAGAGAGAGAGAGAGAGAGAGAGACCAGATATTATCGAAGATGATCAATGAGAGTGAGTCATTTTCGATCGCGAGAGCCCATCGACATATTTAAGCGATTAACAGCAAATGAACTTGGTCTCCCATCTCTGCCGTTGCATTTGTCGAGTATCTGTTTGTTCGTCGATTTATATCCTGGCACCTTTCTATTTATTCTTAAAAACAATTTGTACGAGTCACCTTCGGGGTTGGTGCGTGATCGGTCGGCGACCCGAAGACAGTCCGATACTGTGCGGATGCAAATGCGAGTGCCGCGAGATAAATGCGATCGCGGTGTACAGACAAGCAAACATCCTCGTGATCGTCAAGGTTGGGATTTTATGGTCGAGCTAGAGCCGGATAGAGCCGGCAACGATCGTGTATGGATTATGCAATTAGGCGTCGCGGCCGTGCGCGTTCGATGCGGCTGGTAACACGGCAGTGGCGGCGGAAACGCGCTTTCAATTGATAATTACAGCTGCTAGGCGTCTCTTCCGCAACTCGAGTGTACTCTGTGCACGCGCGCTGCGCTTTATTTATTTTTATTTCTCTCCCTCGCGTTTCTCTCTCTCTCTCTCTCTCTCTCTCTCTCTCTCTCTCTCTCTCTCTCTCTCTCTCTCTCTCTCTTTCTCTCTCGGTCTCCGTCTTCAGCAAATTAACGTACAGACGTCGCTGGGGGTTTTACTGCCCGCGATAAAGTTATTTATTACTCGCGTTTATCGCTTGTTATATCCTTACGTCGGCTACGTTGAAAAGTGCGTTAAATCGCAGCGAGACCCATTCGGGCGGAGAATCGGGCGATAAATTTTATTCTCGGTTTAGTATACTTTAGTATTTATATATCTGTGTGTGGATTTCTCGTTTCCGTCGGCTTGATGTCCGAAAGTCACGGAAAACTCGCCTGTACAACGAGAGCGTTCGCTCGCTCTCGGACACCGGCGCGGCGCGCGTTCTTCCGTCCGCGTTGAGGAATTTCGTAGACGCCGCGTCCGCGGCGAGCATCGCTCGCGGCTGCTTTCGACTTTGTTATTTCAATTACAAATCAGGCGGTAGGCCGTTTTCGAGTAGTGCCTACCCGCAGTGATTACCGGCCGCACACGACGACGCGCGGCGCGGCGCGCGCTTTTACGAAGGTCAGTGCGTCGTGGCGCGGTGCAATTATTAGACTGCAACTGCAGCTAATGCGAACGCGGTAATTGGATAATTATGGGCGGGCTGCCGCGTCGTTGCGCCTTTTCCAGTCTCTTGTACCGTCATCAGTGTCGGCTTGTATCGATTTATCGCGATCGATTGGATGGAAACGCGCTGGCCGATCGTTTCGATCGGAAGCACGAAGTCTTCGCCGAGACGGGAGAAGAAAGAAAAGAAAGTTTCCGCGCGCTGATACGCGGGCAAGCGCGTTTAATTATCTTCAGTCGGGTCTGTTCTCGTTTTCTAGATCGTAACTCGGATTACAATGCAAATGCGAGAAAACGAGATAAATTTAAGAGCGCGCTCGGCGATAAATAGGGACGACGGGGAAGCGCCGGGGAACGTCTCCATGTCTCACCGCGATGGTACTCCACTTTTGCGGAGAGTACAACGACCCGATATGTATGGAAGATGTTAGTTTTCACCAAATAACCCTACGCCGCAGCTTCAGAATTATCATCCGCCTCGTGGGGAAGATACGCGCCGCGAGTTTTCCGAGAATCGTCCGCCGGCAAGAATTTTTACGAATGGGGTTCCCGACGTGTTAATCTCTGCTCGAGTCGAGGGGAGGCAGTTACGTCACACCGCGAGATATGCAAACCTTTCTTTTTCGTTATCACGTCAAGCGACGTTTGCGATTTAAACAACCGTATCGCTACGTGTTTTGACGTCACGCTGATAACGGTAATATCATTATCGGGTCACGCCACGCGCGCGCGCGCGCGCACCACCGATCGCCCTTTTCTCTCTCTCCGTTCCATTGTCTTAAAACACACGCGGCTGATTACATCGGCAGCTTTCGTACGCGTTTGATCGATCGGCGAAAAGTATAATTCCGTGTGCGGTCAACGGTTAACGAGGCACACCCTGTCGATAAATTTCACACGCAAAGGGGGAAAGAAAGCGAAGCCGAGCGACGGTGGCGTCGAAGAGGGATGGGAGGGGAGAGGACGGGGTGTTACAGTTCAATTTATAGTATAGTCCGATTGTTGCCGGATTAGGCAATTAAGACTTAATCCACAGTCCAGTTTCTTTCCTCTCGCGAAAGGCCCGATATATCGGGCGGGAACAAACGAGAGCGGAGCAGTCACGTTTCGCGCGATTCTGCACGGTGTGTCCCGCTATTATTTATCGCGCTTATGACTTATCTCGCGCGTTTCTCAACAAGCTGTTACCGCGCGTTACCGTCGAAAGCAGCGAAAGATGTGTGCTTTAGTCCTGCTTCTCTCTCGGCTGTCAGCGTTTGTATTACGTCAGCGGTTCTCAGATTGCGCCGCGCCAAGAGTCGTCGCCGTCTCTTTTATCCGAAAGAGGAAAGGAGGGAGGGCAAAAAAGATCTCTCGCCATAAGCAGCGAACGTAATGACACGTTTATCCCGTGAAATGTACGCGACACGTAAAATCCTATGAAAGAGCGAATTTAACGCGGACTGCATATCTTATAAAACCAGATAGATAGCGTCTCTCTCTCTCTCTCTCTCTCTCTCTCTCTCTCTCTCTCTCTCTCTGTGTGTATGTGTGTGTGTGTGTGTCCAACACGTGGGGAATAGTGAAGGGGTGTGTTACGTTAGGTGTTAGATAACCGAAAAGCGTTGGTGGAGTGTAATCCTATTTGCAATTGTCGGATGACTTCATCACCGTGTCGCAACGCGTTCGCGACGAACGCGCCTTCGCATAGTCTGTAATTGCTGACTGTTTAGATGGTTTAGCGTCTCGAGCGTTGACAGTATCGCCGTTAGATCTGCTGGCAGTATCGTGCTGCCAGGATAATGGTCTAAACAATTCATTACGATTTATGTATGCTGGCACACACACACACACACACACACGGTGTGGACCGCCCTGCGACGTCGCGTATGAAACTAATCATTTTTTCACGTTCTCTTCATATCTGACACGTTATGTGATACGTCAGGAAATTTATGAACGTGCCCACAGAAAATTATTCGGGACCCTCGCAGCTGGAAGCTTAAGCTCAATTAGTTTTATTAACTTCGCCCACCCCCTCTTCCTCCCGCTTCCCAACTCCTGCATGGGGTTGTCGTTGATGCATAAAATTCGTATACAGGTTATTCAAGAATAGACCGATTGTCTGGCCAATTTGTTACGCAACCTCGTAATTATGCCTCGGTCGAAGCTTTCGTAAAAACGTTCACTCCGAATTGTTGCCTTACGAAACACTCGTAGACCACGTGTATATGTTCTTTTAACAACTCACGTCTCATCGGTACGCTCGTTATATTCATTTTTTAGCCGAAGGATTCATCGGCGGTGTCGTAAAGCTCGTCGCGTCGTGTCGTGTCGCCGCGAGATTATTGGGCCCTATTACGAAATAAACACACACACACACACACACATACACACACACACACACACACACACACACACACACACACACACACACACACACGGTCCACGTTTCCACGGGGCATTATCCAATTAATCGGCGGGGAAAGATGAAGTCACCGTGCGATCGTCAGCCGGCAGACGTCGAGCGGCTATCGGAGCGCTCGTGGGTCTTAATAAATTTTAACGCTGCGCTCGCACGGCGTCGGGGTCCACCGGGGTGCTTCGTCAACGACCAAGTGCAAAGGCAGAGAGGAGGAGGAGGAGGAGTAGGAGGAAGCGGAGGAGAAGGAGAAGGAGGAGGAGGAGGCCTGACCGACGGGTGTACTCGCAGGAGGAGGGCGAAGAAAGGGAGACGCGAGGGTGCAATTTAGTTTGCGGTCGCTCGAGTCGGGTTACGTTAGGTTAGTCCGCCGGTCGGTCCCCGTGACCGTGAACCGCGCGGCTGACCTGCGACACAAACACAATCTCCCTCCTTGGCTTGCCTCCCGGTCCCTTTCCGCCCCCTTTCCCCCCTTCTCCCCCCATACCCATCGCCATCCATAAATCTACCTGCACCACATCGCGTCTCGTTCCTACGGCCGCGGGACCGCTCTCGCTCGGCTCTCTCGTGTCTCTCGCATTGTGCGCTCTTCGGGATCTCCGAGTGATAAATACGACCACACCACCCTCACCTCCTCTCCTCTCCTCTCCTCTCTCTTTCTCTCTCTCTCTCTCTCT